GAAACATTATAAATAAATTACTGTATTGTTTTTAAATTTAATTTGATGAGTTTATTATTTTTAAGTCTATTACTAATTGATTGCTTTTTAATCACTTCACATTTATCTGTTCAAATCGAGAAAACCGGTCGAATGTTGATAACAGAGAACCATTTAACGTCCGCTCGGTATGGAGTATCGATGTGAACTAAACTCAATTTGATCATTAGGAATGATCCACGTGGCGCCCTCTATGACAAAACGTAAAATTTTAAATAAAATACTATTTCTTGTCTAAGATTATGCCTCTGTGCCAATTTTGATAACAGTTTATAAATATACAGGGAAACTATTAGCAAAACACGAAAAACAAAAATTAACTTTAACACCCTGTATCTTTTTCTCAGCAACATTTTATTAAGGCATATTTGGCCCAATAGCCATATTTTGGTCCAAATAACTTGTCTTTAGTCTATGTCCTAATAGTTATGACTCACCCTGTATAAAAAATAGAGAACGCCATCGCTCACTGCATAAAACTGGCAACGTCTTGGCGAAATTCCCATAAGGTTAGCATTGCATATCTTATCTGTAAAGACTAGTCACGTTGAGACGAAGTATAATACGATAACATCGACAGTTTAAGTATGTCTTTCTTCACAGCAACATGCTTGCCTAATTGCTGATCTGCTTATATGAAAACTTTTTTAAGACATGTAGACTGATGACTCATGACTGTTGATACTATGCCATAATTTCAATTTTTATCTGTCAGAGGTTATAACTAGTTGTTTTTTTTATCTCCTGCAAGCTAATCTTTAAGAATCACTAGGTTATAAACTTTTTTAATCTTTGAGTTATGGTAATATATTGTGCCAACCCTCCAAATTAAGAGAAAATTAATCTTTTTATTCGATGAAAATTGATAAAATATATTTTTGTTATATTATTTCTTAGAAGTAGGATTCTTAATTTAATATTTACTTTCAGTCAACAATAAAACAGAACAAACATTTGAAGAAGTTCTCCTAGAACTAAATTCGGGTGGATCACCTGAAAGACATTCATTTAATATTATGACTTATTATGATTTCTTTAGTTCCAGAAGAAAACGAGTCGTCCGATGGCCAAAAGGGAGAAGGAAGAAAAGCTTTCAGTTCGCCTCAAGAACGTACTGAGTTCAACGATCCAGATAATCCATTTGGTAAAGCATCGTTGCAACGTAAAAACTTATCGCAATGTCTCCTACTCGGACCGCAGAATCTGGAAAAAATCTTCGACAACAAGCATATTATCGAAAATTCTCAAACTTTGTTTCTCAACACAGGTTATTTTACAAGTCAATTACACAACACCAATTATTTACAGGGTAAATAAACAATTTACTATATTTAATATAAACAAAATATACCACTTTTATCCAAATGACGTCATTTGTCACATGTCACCTCAACATTTCCGTTAGACCGTGAGCCATTCTGTGTCCGGCTTCTATACACAATGTATCTTCGCCTATATTTAAAAATTTTAAAGTGTTTGTCTGTCCTTGTGTAGTGTAATGTTCCATTTTATGTTTATGACATTTTATTCTTGTCGGATAGGCCGCAATTGACGAAATGCCCCTGAAGATGATCTAGGGATCGAAAGTACTTGGGCAAGATTAAATTAATTAACCTGTGCTCGATATTTGCTTTTTATATTATCAAAGATCTTCTAGTATATTTAGGGCACACATACAATCCCATACTAGCTTAGAATTGACCTGTACAGAATTGAGTGCGCTGCCTGACTATCTGTGAAGATGACATTTGAAGATAACGTTTTTTCCTAACAATAGAGTCATTTTGGGGTTAAGTCCCCAATTCTTACCGCACATCCATCTATATCTGCTCGAGGACATAATAGCTTTCTGTGTGATTTTCAGAATTAAGTATTCCATGTAAGCCTATGATCAAAATACACCCCAAGGTATTTTGTTTCTTTGGCAAATGAAATCTCTGTTCCTCCCAGCACCGCTGGTTTAAGGCCTTGCAGTGCTGTTTTTTTTTGTGAAATTGACAATTTGTGTTTTCTGAGCATTAACTATCAGTCTCTCTTGTTTAGACCAGTCGTCAACTATATTTAGAGCTGCTTGCATTCTCTCAGACACCACCTGGGCAAACCTGCCCCTGACAACGATTGCTATATCGCCAGTATATCCTAGACAGTAAACGCCTTCTATGGGCAGATTTCTAAAATCATCTACCAAGGTTGCTCAAAGTAGAGGATTCAGAACTCCTCCTTTAGGACAGCCTCTACCTACTTTTGCTTTGAAGGTTGATTTACTTAGAGAAGGTATTACTGTCCTATTCTCCAGAGATTCCCTTATCCATCTGCATATTACTACAGATGTGCCTCGTCTACTCATAGCCCTGATCAAAGAGCTGGTACTAACATTATTAAGTGCCCTTTATATATCTAACAAAGCGGCCATTGCTATCTCTTTGCCTTCCATTGACTTTGAGATAAGCCTATTTAGATCATCCAACGCAGAGTTCGTAGATTTACCAAGTTGGTATGCATATTGACGATTGCTTAGAGGATTATCTTTTAGTACTTCGTCTCTAATGTACCTATCAAGAAGCCATTTCAGTGTTTTTAATATAAAAGTAGATATGTTTATCGGTCTATATAACTTTGGTGTTCGGTATGATACTTTAGCTGCCTTAGACAAGTATATGACTTTAACCTTTTGCCATATTTACGGTACGACGCCCTATGCTAAACTGGCTTTGAGGAGCTTGTGTAGGTGTGGTATCAATACCTCTAATCCCATATGCAACAGTATTGGATATATGCCATCTGTCTGTTTGGTCTTGTGATTGCTGTAGCTATTTCCCAATCTGTAGACCTTAGCCTAGTCAGCTTTTGGTATATGTTGGTTTGCCAATCTGCATCGTCCAGAATTGTTGAATCCGGAAAGTGCGTCTTTATCAATTCTCTAAGAGTTTCCTCTTTGGTGTCCGTAAATTTGCCATTATCTTTCTTTAGGAAACCTACTTCTTTAGTTGTAGCACCATCCTTTGCCAGGACTTTATAAAGTCGAGAACATACCGGGATATCTGTTATCTCCTCACAAAACTCTCTCTATGCATTCCTTTTAGGTTTCCAAATTTCTTTATTGTATAGCGTTAGCTTATATCTATACGCATCCCAGTCTTGGTTACTTTTGGCTTTGTTAAAGAGGCTTCGGACTTCCAACCTCATCCTCTTTAAGTCGTTGTTTCACCAGACCAGTTTAAAAACTCACATAACTGACACTTCAAACCAGTAGCGTTGCGCGCTAGCTGTCTTTTATTTTATCTTTGATACCTTGCTTTTTTGCTCAAGCAAACTGATATCATCATAGCTATTAAGAAAAAAATTAGCTTTAATTTGATATTAAAAAAATGCATATATGTTATGAACAGCATATTTTATTTAAAAAATAAATGAATGAAATAAATTTTTGTCAAAAAATAATTACTATTAATTAAATTAAATATATCTGCGGCCACTTTTTGACTGGCAAATTATTATCAGGGTATTCTCCTGTATGTATATACAAATTTAAGTTTGATTATCTACGTTATGAACGTAGTGATCCTGCAGTGGGATATTAGACTACCCACTTAGATATTCCCACTATTATTGTGAATTAAATACATTTTCTTTATAATATTTTTAATTTAATAGTCTAACTTATTTTCAGTGAACGATAAAAAAGAACGAACATTTGAAGACGTTCTCTTGGAACTGAATTCAGAAACTGAGAAAAAATGTGGCGAAGACAGAATTGTGAAGTTATTAGGAGAGTTATATGACTGCATGGAAAAGGAAAATATGATCAACCAAAAAGTGGCTTCTAATTTAAAAATAAGAATACTTAAATGTCTATACAGGTTTGTGGAATCACAAAATGAACAGATTTTGATTTGTATAGCAAAGATTATATTGTCGGTAAGTTTTAACCATATAACAAAAGCTTTATAAACAATTTTCATTATATAAAACGTTTTGAAACAATTTCGTAGTTAAAGAACAGTATTTTATATTAGCAACTTGTTTGTTAAACACCAGTGTATTAACGTCAAATCTGTCATCAGCAGGTTTCGTAGCTTTATAAAGATTTAGGGTTGCTCTGCTCTTTTGTTAGTTTTGTTTTGATTTGAATGGATGTGTAGGAACTCATCACTTCCCGTTTCCCGAAATTATTAGACCCTTCGAGATATAGTTAAATGATCACCGGCATCTTTTGCAGATTGGTAAACTGATCACCGTAGATATGTAAACTCATCACCAGCATTTTTGCCCCAATGCGCTGGTTACTAATGCGAATTTCAACATATCCCTAAAAATAAAATAAAAGTATATTAATGAATCACCCTGTAGAACAAAAACTAGCAACATTTTGACTAAGCAATTTGGGCTCAAACGCTTTATTTTGATGTCAGCTATCACCCATTAGCTAATGTCCAATTAATTATGGGACACCCTGTATATGTACTGGGAATCAATAAAAAAATTAACTTATTTTTTATGGTGAGAAATTGAAAACAATGGGTTTTGAATTTCATAATAATAATGAGTGTTGGATTTTAAAAAAGAAACAATATATTTGCAGTATATTTTACTTTTACAAGCTTTTATGATACATGTATGACACAAATTTTACAAATTCTTAATGGGAAATTTCGTTCCTATTCAGATCTTCTACTTTTCACACAAGACGTCTATTATTTCTGGTACCTAGACCGTATGGTCAAATTAATACAGGGTATAAAATTATAATACAGTATTTTTACATATTGTGAAATTTGGTGTCGTTTAAATATTTCAGTATGTACTTGATTATACTGATAGATTATTCATGTTTAAATTCAGGTTGTTTTTTTTCCATTGATATGTGCCTGGCCTTGTAGAAAGATATGTGACAAAATTGATAATGTAGCTGTGACAAAAAGGAATGTGGTTTATTATTTATTAGACCAATATGGATTGTTGCAGTTTGCCCTATGCTTAATCAATTTAATATTACTTGCTCAGAGTGTTTGATTTGGAGTGATAATTTAATGCCAATAGCTTCTAGCTTCTTTATTAGTTGTTACCTTATTCAATATTGTTTTCCAGTTAGTCTGTCATAAATGGAAAATATATTCTTTGCTGGAGATCTTACGCAACTTTATTCGCAAGTAGATCTATTGTTTCATTTAGCTTGTTCTAATTAAGCCTTAAGTAGTTTTTTCTAACTGCGAATATTTTATTTTTAGATAAAGGTAACAGGAAATAACCTAAGTGGTGTATGCAAATTGATTTTTAAGGTGGCTAAAATTGACAAAAATGATTATTTGTTCTTCCAGAAAAATCTATTAGGTAAGAAATATTTTTTTATTATTAAAAAGGAAATTTAGAATTTTATATCTTTACAATCTTTGTGTCCGTATCTCTTCCTTATATTTTATAAACACACAAAGAGAGGAGATAAAAACATATAAATATCTAAAATCATTTGATGAAACGACACAGGTTTCTGATTAAGTAAACGATTCAACTGACCATCTTTACGAAATTATTGTATACAGGTTGGTTAGTGACCATTGAAGATAGCATTTAATTAAAAGATGACAATCAAGCGTACGTGATACGGTCGTTGTTGTGGGCTAAATGCGATTTAATTCATTTTTTGAATTTGTGGCAGTAAAGGTCTCGGCATATTATCATGCACGTCTAGTTTTCGGCACGTAGCGTTTCCAGTCCAGCAATCAGACTGCACGTTCACATTTTCATACATAGAATTTTCAGTTAGTTTCGGTGAAGATATGATCTCGCTTTTCGCGACAAAAATTATGTGCAATTGCTCTTCTACTTAACGATGAAAAATAAAAACTGTAGTTAAAAGAAGGTTTGAAGTACATCCAATGTTAAGAGAAAGGAAAAAGGAAGGAGAGAACTGGACTTTATACAAAGAATTAATTGATGACGATGAAAAATGTTATGGATATTTTAGAATGAATAGGATTCAATCGTAAAAGTAGTTACGAAACACAATTCAGATTTCTGCTGTAATCTGTGCTTTTTAAAAATTGCAAAGCAAAACAGACGTTGATGAAGGTGTTAAAAGAGACGTGGAGAATCTAAAATTTGCGTTACACGACACGTCTTTTCAACTAAGCAGAAATCCTTAGCGAATTGGTTTCTTGTACTCGTACAGAGTAGATCCGAATAAAATGAAAAAGACAGCAAATATTTGATTTCACGCAAACAGCGCCTTTGTATCTGTTGATGCGTATTTCAACCTAATAGGCCTCATCAGAACAGTTATTCAAAGGTGTCCTCAACGTGAAAGATCAATATTTCCTGTCTTTTAAGAAGCAACACTAAAATGGCTTCGATACGGACGCAATAGCGACATCTGATAATAAAACCGTAAAAATAGTTTCTAAACACAATTCAGATTTCTGCTTTAATCTGTGCTTTCTAAAAATTGCAAAGCAAAACAGACGTTGATGAAGGTGTTAAAAGAGACGTGAAAAATCTAAAATTTGCATTTCACGACACGTCTTTTCAACTAAGCAGAAATCCTTAGCGAATTGGTTTCTTGTACTCGTACAGAGTAGATCCGAATAAAATGAAAAAGACAGCAAATATTTGATTTCACGCAAACAGCGCCTTTGTATCTGTTGATGCGTATTTCGACATAATAGGTCTCATCAGAACAGTTATTCAAAGGTGTTCTCAACGTAAAAGATCAATATTTTCTGTCACCTTCACATTTTTTAACACCTTCATCAACGTCTGTTTTGCTTTGCAATTTTTAGAAAGCACAGATTAAAGCAGAAATCTGAATAATGTTTCGAAACTATTTTTACGGTTTTATTATCAGATGTCGCTATTGCGTCCGTATCGAAGCCATTTTAGTGTTGCTTCTTAAAAGACAGAAAATATTGATCTTTCACGTTGAGAACACCTTTGAATAACTGTTCTGATGAGACCTATTAGGTCGAAATACGTATCAACAGATACAAAGGCGCTGTTTGCGTGAAATCAAATATTTGCTGTCTTTTTCATTGAATAGGATTCAGTTTGAATATATTTTAAATTTAATTACACCTTTAGTTAAAAAACAAAATCCTACATTTAACGAAGCCATACATATCAAACCAAAGAGTATTTTTAAAAAGAAGATACAAACAAATACCTAAATAAACAACAAGGAGATAACGATGGACCCCTAATTCACATTATCCTTACCAACAGGTTCCGTATCCGTAAAATATTGTTTTTGAATATACTGAAGGGAAAAGTTAGGTGTCTGAGACGATACGTTCTGGACAGTGTGAATTGTTCACATTTAAAACCATTTAAATTATATTTTTGGAAACTAAACGCTACGTGCTGGAAACGCAACGTGCATGATAATATTCCACGACCTTTAGTGTAAAGCCGCATTTAGACTAAAGTATGTTCACAGAGATAATCCTTACATTATTTAATCGGTATATAATATTTTATACAAATTTTAGAATTGTTTCTTGACGCTCTTGGAAGATCAAGTCCTTTGGATGATGCGGAAGCATGCGTTTATGGGTATGGAGCTGTTAAATTTTTGACAATGAACCAAAAACTGTTGGAAAAGATTTTGAACTTAGGTATTTTACAGTTAATGGTATTACATATGAAAATTATCAATGTGGCGGTAAGTGAATTCGACATTGAAATTAGTGATAATTTGCTCTGCAAAATATTTGTTATTTATGTATATATAGCTGTTAAGGTATTAAAGGCGTCTAAAACTGATTTCCTTTATGTGCCGTCGTCAGCATTAAATCTTAGCGGTTATTTCTTGTTGGTAAACATTTCTCTGTCTTTAGCTTTTCGCATAAGTTCTTCTAAGCCTAGTTCTTGTCTTCAAACACTACTGTTTGTATTATTTCGTCCATTAATATCATAAATGGCAGTGGGCTTAAATAATCACCTTTTCTTACACCGTTTTGTACCGATATAGACTGTATTAGTTTTCCATTTATCTTTGAATGGAATTCATTATAAATATTTTCTTCATGAATTGTTTAGTGTATCCCTAAAAATGGCTTAATACTCTCGCAAATTTATAAGCATTAAACGTCATACTCTTTGATTTCATTAAATCTTCTACCGGATCCATTTCTCTCACCCACAATAAACAACAATATTTACGCTATATTTTTGATTTTACGATAACATAATATAAAACTACAATAAACACAATTTATCATCCAGATAACTTCTTATTCGGTACTTTATTTGGCAATATTTTACATTTTATCTATGTTCAGATAAGTTCAGATTTCTTTTCTAGGTAGCGCTAGGTGTTAAAATCTAAACTAACATAAAGCTATAAATTATGTTGTTTATTAAATCTTATCTTAAAATTACAGCAACCAATATTTTTGGCAATTTTGCGAAAAATGATTCATATTATTAATTATAATAATATGAAATTAATATCCACATTTAGCCATACGGCTCACACTCCCTATAAAGGGAAAATTCATTCATCTCAGATACCTACGGTATTAAAAGGATTGAGCTCTGGTAGGGCTCTTTTCGCGTTATCGAGCCCTAGGTGACTTGTTGTGCTGGAGTAGGTATCTCCCAAAAATTTTCGTACACATCTGCTCGTCGAGAGTAGTACAGCTTTCTGCATGGTCTTATAGAGACATTTATTCAGACTCACTATTTTTATGTTTTCTAAGAGGTTCTTCGGAATAATTCCAGTAGTAGAAAGGATTATAGGTATCGTCTGGGTACTCTGCATTCTCCATTGTCTTCTTATTTGTATTTCCAGATCTCTGTACTTGGCGATCTTTTCGTTGTATTTAACACGCAGAGTATTGTTGTTAGGTATCGCCAAGTCGATTTGTGTTGTTTGTCTTGTTAGTTTATTAACTAGTACGAGATCTGCTCTATTGTGTGCTACTGTTTGGTCTGTGAGCACAGTGCGGTCCCAATATAGTTTGAAGTTGTCATTTTCAAGCACACTCTTTGGGACGTATTGATAAGATGGTAGATGGTTTGTTTGAAGAAGTCCCAGTGTGATAGCTACTTTTTAATGAACGATTTTCCCTACTGAATCATGCCGTTCCTTGTATTCAGTTACAGCAAATGTCTGGTAGCTCCCAGTAAGATGTTGGATAGTTTCTTGGGTTTGACATCCATATTGGCATTTGTCGTTTTGGACTTGATGGTATTTGATGGTATATTTAAGGTAGTTTTTTGTTAGTATAATCTGATCCTGAATGGCAAGTAGTGAACCTTCTGTTTCAGGGAAGGTATTTCCTGATGTCAGCCAATAGTTCGACGCTATACTGTCGACATAGTCTTGATTGGTATGTCGCCCGTGCAGAGGTTTACACATACAGGTCATCATTTTTTCGTTCTTAGTAAGATGGTTTATGCGCATTTCTGGTTCCCTTAGTTTGATCGATGTTTTTTCATCTACTGCACAAATCGCGCGGTGTAGAGTAGGTGTCTCAGTTATTGTCCACTTAACAATACCAAATAAGTAGCTAATTGCGGAACATGCGTAGATGTTTAGTGCCTTAAACAAATTTTACTGTTAACGTGTGAACGAAGCAGCTGTTTTACCCTTCGTATAAACTCAGAAGTTATCTCAGTTTTCATTTGCTTATGGTCAATTTTCCGCGCTTGCTTTATCTCGATGTATTTATATAATCATTTTCATCCATAGCATCGATGTTGCATATCGAATCCGCCGGGCTAAACGTTTCCTTTGATTATATATAAAACACAGCATTTGTCAAGACCGAATATTAGTACTGGTATTAATTAAACGCATCGTTTCAAGAACAAAATTGATTGAAATTGAAATGATTGGAATTTCAGATGTTGGTCGTTCAGATTTTCTTTCCTAGGTGGCGCTAAGTTTTAAATCTAAAATAACGTAAAACTTTAAATTATTTTATAATAAATTCTACCTTAAAAATATTATTAAAATTAATTATTAATAATATTAATATGTAATTAATCATGAACGTATAAACACAGATGGACTCAGTTATTTACATAAAATTGTGAAGTCAAAATTATTTGAATAGGTCACATTCTCAGCACCTTCAACTGTTGTCACGTTTTGTTTTAAAATTTCTTATTCGCGAGTCGCTGAAAATATTACTCCGTATTTTATACTCTACAGGTGCTATCAAACCAAAATAATAATTTATTGGTTAGATTAATATATTTAATTGTAATCAAAATATAAAGTGTGCACATAGTGTGCATTATCATTTAATAATAACGTATAATTTAGATATCAATCAATTATTTTATATGTAGAAGCACTGAAAACTATTTATAAATGGCGACGGTTGTTTACATTTATCTGTCTTATGGATATACGTCAAACTTCAAATGCTGTTCTATGTTTGTTTACTTTTTAGTAAAAGTTGTTTTTCGATATTTTGGCTGTATTTTGAGTGATGTTTGTGAAAAGTGAAATAAAATAAACGAAATATTTACATCCCGATCTCTCATTTCAATTGTAAGTACATAAAATTTACATTATTTAAGATGAGGAAATGAGGAAGCGTGTTTGTTTACATTTTAATAGGCGTACCATTGGGTTTATTCATGTTCATTAATGTAAAGATATAATTTCATGAAAGTATTAGACATTTTTAAATTGTAAGTAGACATCATCTGATTAAAAAAGATCTATTTAGTACCTTTTTAATTTAATATTTCTCATGGATGCAAATAAATTAGTGAAATGAATAAAACTTATTTATTTTTCTATGTAGGTTTCCAAATAATATTGACGATCGAACTATTTTAGTAGCAAATTTAGGAGAAAACATAAAGATTTTTTATTGTAGCATTATTTTAATACCTATTAAAAATTAACTTGAATTCAACTATATTTTATTGTATTAATTTTACAGCAAATAAAATTGTATTTTAATTTTTCTATAAAGACGTGATTTGTTAATAGTTAAACTCTCGTTTTTTTTTTTAAATTCTTTGAACGTGTTTTTATACATTATTACTACTTCCAATTTTTAAAATCTGAATAATTACGCGCGAGTAAAAATTCAAGCACGCTTATGCTCATTGCGGAAGCATCACATTCTATCGAAGCTTCAAAACATTGTGTGTTAAAGGTATCTTATTGCTGTGTCCATCTATGTTTATACGTCCATGTAATTAATACAATATTATTAATTAAACGTATGGTTTCGAGAACAAAATATGATTGAAATTTCAGATGGTGGTAATTCAGATTTCTTTCCTGTGTAGCATAGTTACTCTACCGGACAAACAGTGTGACTTGTCGTGTTAGCCTTTTATATAGATAGATTACTTTCGATTATGCTTTACCTTTGGATATTTATTATTTGGATCTTATTAAAAGCTTTACTAAATCTATAAACCTTACAATTATCTTCTATTCTAGTTAATACAACTTTCTGATATCTTTCTTATGCATTATTCTAGTTTTTTTAAGTGTACATGCTCATCCGGTAGTAATCTATGGAGTGAGTAATACCGAGTCGTAAGCTCCCATACCTTGCCACACTGTGTATCAATAGGTCAATCCGTTAAACCAGCGTATTCTAGTTTAGAAGTGAGCGCACTTTGTCTGCTGATCAGCTTGGTTATCTGACTGACTGTATGAATTATATAGTATTAATAAATTTTTAGAAAACAGAAAAAAGTATCATGCCGGACCAAACGAATCATGCACTATATCAGCTAACCGGAGCGTTAAGAAACTTAGTGTCAGAGGAAAACATATACGAATCTTTCGTGGAATGTGGAACAATACCCCAACTTTGCCAGACGCTAGAAATATTCTCTTCGGACTTAGATATAGTAGCCAACATATCAAGGACTTTAAGGTAAACACAACATTTAACAAAATCCATAGTAAACAAATTCACGTATCATTTTTAACCATCACTTGGAATGTTTATAGTTTTACTTCATGAAATATAGTATTATAATAATTTTAAAGTAGCAGGCATAATCGATTTATAAGGCGGTACTAAATGTGACATCCTTTATTTTACTCTTTACAAACTTTGAGTATCACTTAATTAGGCAGAGTCCTTTTTTGCCTATTTTTGGTTCTGGGGCGTTTTTGCTTAAATTTTCCCGAAAAATGTCGATTGTACGACATACCGAAAAATTATAAATACTGCGATTCTTTTTAATTAAATAGCTTAAAAATTATACAAAAAACACGAAAATAAATGGTAGGTCATTCAACGCGTCTAACAATAATTCGAACATGTCGGAAAAATGACTGTGACCCAATTCATAGATAACACTGGTAAAAACAACACAGTTTGCTGCCAGAAATTTTTTTACTGTTTCTAGATAATTTGGGTCCGCTGGATCCAAAAATGCTACCAGATTTGCTCCATCAGATCATTTTCAAAAAATACAACAGATCACATTTCTAACATATAGGGTAATTTAACGCAGCACGACCTACAAATATGTAGTGCTCCTACCCATCAAATAAACAAAAGTATACTTACAAAAATCATCACACATATCTGCCAAAAAAAACTCAACTTTTCATCTAACCTATCCAGCATCGCAGCACAAATCTGTTATTCGGCGTCACCTAAAAACGTCCTTTTATAGGATTTTTTTGCAAAAGCTTTAAAAGGACGGTCCCTTTGAAGACTCCAGCAGTAATCTGCCATCATGTGAGTGTCCCATATTGATATCTTGGTGGAATCGTTCCCCTATCAGGGAAAGTGAATCAATCCCTACCTTCCGCAGATTCCAGGTGTTTCCTGACCCGGGAAACTAGTACCTGCTAAGGGTCCCTTGTCCATGATCACGGATGAAGCCCACAATGGCATCCAGGGCGGAGAAGATCTTCACAACGGTCTGGAAAGCGGAGGTGGCAGTCCAATGGTTTTAGGGCTTGTATAAAACCGAGGGGAAGATTGATCTCTGAAGTCCAGAAAGACAGTCAATCTAAAGGATGAAAACCTTAAGACAAATTTCCTGGCCCTCCAGGTTGGGGGTTGGATCATTGAGCTAGCTCCTTAATATCTAGAAAAAAACTACTGCTAAAAATATCAAACCAAGCCTCGGAAATATAGACGGATCTAAACAAAGACAAAAACGGCTACGAAAAAGGACCATGATGATAGGTACATGGAATGTACAAGGAATAAGGGGTAAAACTGAAGAGATCATCAAAGAAGTAAAACAACTTGGCCTCAACATAGTGACCCTCACTGAAACAAAGAAGAAGGGCGTTGGATCAGTAATGATAGGAGACTACATATATCTGTATAGCGGCGTACCAAAGGAAGAAAGAGCTAAGAGAGGAGTATCCGTAATTATTAACAAAAAGTTTAAAAGGAAAATTACCAGCTGGACTGCAATATATGAAAATATCCTGCAAGTAAATATGACCCTACACCATAAAAAAACAACAATACTAGCAATCTATGCCCCCTCAGAGGATAAGAATGTAACCACAAAAGACGAATTCTTTGCAAAATTAAACGAAGTTATTACTAGAGTTGGAAATAACCAAGAAATATTTTTATTAGGCGATTTTAATAAAAGAACAGGAAACAAGCGCCACAACAATGTAATTGGACCTTATGGAGAAGACGTCGTAAATGATAACGGAGAAAGACTTATCAATCTCTGTGAAAGTAATAGACTCAAAATAACTAACGGATATTACTGTCACAAAAACATACACAAATATACATGGTTTCAACCAATAAGGAATCTTAAGTCTATAATAGATTACGTGATAGTTAAACAAAATTCACAAATACTCATTAGAGATATTAGAGCTATGAGAGGAGCAGTATGCGGATCAGATCACCACATGGTCATGGCAAAAATTGTTTTCTTATATAGATTAAAGGACAGTGTCTCATCAAGCCGAGACGAACAACTTTTAGAAATAATTAATCTTCCTCAATACAATCTGTCCAGTTTAGTTCATGAGAGCACCCGTACACTATATAAGACTCGAATGGACTCCAAACTTGACGAAACACTAACAAATACCAAATGCATATATGAGAACATAATGTCAAGTATTCATCAAACAGCACAGGAGGTCTTAGGAATCAATCAAAACAAAATTAGTAACAAGCTTTGGTGGAATGAAGACGTCGAAAATGCGGTAACAGAAAAGAAAAGATTATACCATAAGTCGTTGAATACAAAAGATGACGCAGACAAAGACCGATACAATGAAATGAAGAAGAAAACTAGAAAGATAATTATGACCTTCAAAAATGAGACATGGGACAGAAGGTGCAGAAATATAGAATCTTATATTGGAAGACGACAATGCACTGAGGCGTGGAAGTTTATAAACTCTGTTAAGAAGCCGACTAACGAGAAAGTGATTCTAAATCCCATAAATCCCGGGGATTGGACACATTATTACAAACATCTATTAAATGAGAACAGAGACGAATTTAAAGAAGATATGAATTCATCAAGAATCGAAATTCTGGGAGAGCATATTACCATAGATATCTACATAGTTCAAAAAGCTATAGCAGGGATGAAGAATGAGAAAACAAGTGGACCAGAGAGAGTAACTACGGAATTAATAAAGAATGGCTCAGAAAAATTACACAAAATGATCACCGTGATATTTAAGGAATATATTAATGGACATCCAACACCAAATGACTGGAAAACAGCATTAATGACCCCAATATATAAAAAAGGTGACAGGAGAAATTGTAAAAACTATAGAGGGATATCGGTTACAAGTTCAATGAGTCGACTATACGGTCGAATACTACGGGACCTGATAGAGGAAGATTATCAATCGTCTGTAGACGAAGGACAAGGAGGATTTAGAGCAGGTCGTTCATGTACAGATAACATCTTCTGTCTTAAACAAATTATAGAAAAGAAAATTGTGACAAATACAGAGTTACATATGACTTTTGTAGATCTTGAGAAGGCATATGACACAGTCCCGCTAAATAAACTATGGGAAGTCCTGGGCACATCAAACATTGGTTAGTGCTCTCAAAGATCTATATTATGGTTCAAACTCCCAAATGAAATTCGGAAACCTCTTAGCTGAAAAATTTACAGTTACTACAGGTCTCAGACAAGGATGTTGTATCTCTCCGACTCTGCAGCTCTGAAACAATGGAAAAGGAAAATCAAAGGAATGGGTATACAATTGAACGATCAGGATTACATATATACTTTACAGTTTGCAAATGATCAGGTGGTGATCTCAAATGACAAAGACGACATGGAATACATACTTAGAAAACTAATTAAAGAATACCAAAAATGGGGATTAAATATCAATTTAGAAAATACAAAATACCTCTCAATTGGAGCTGAAGCAGAACAACTCGATATCAATGATAATAAAAAAATAAACCCATGTGACGAATATAAACACCTGTTCGTCATCTTCGACCGTAATGGAAAAGACGAACGAGAAATAGAACATCGAATTGTACAAGCACGAAGAGCTATAGCATGTTTAAACGGAGTTCTATGGAGTAAAGAAATATCAAAGAAAAAAAAAATTGAACATCTATGAGACAATAGTTAAAACTAGCCTACTTTATGGAGCTGAGACATGGAGAATAACCGAGAAATATAAGAAAAAGGTCGAAGCCACGGAAATGGATGCCATCAGAAGATCGATGAGAATATCAAGAGCCGACACAATACGCAATGAAGTGATAAAACAACAAATGGGTATAGAGGGCACTACAGTTGAGGATATTGAGAGAAAACAGCTCATATGGTATGGGCATGTGAGCCGAATGGGGGACGAAAGATTGCCTAAAAAAACGATGATGTAGCAACCCCCAGAGAAGAGGAAACGAGGAAGACCACTACAGAGCTGGAACCTGGGAGTTAGGAAAGCGATTAGCGCTCGAAATCTGGACGAAGAACTAACTCAAGACAGAATACAGTGGCGTTTAGGAGTCGGACAATATCGGAGTATATATATATATATATACATATATATATATATATATATATATATATATATATATATATATATATATATATATATATCGTTCCCCTTGTTCCTCACTAAGGTCACCAAGATTTTCTGGGAAAGTGGCTGTGGAGGTGAGGTAATGAATTTTAATACTCATATGACAACTCCAGTCTTCTGCTATCCCAAAGACAAAGGAAGCAAGGATATTTTGTATAGCCACCTTGTTGTCCCAGGAGAAAGTTCACCGTCTTAAAATTAACACAGATCGCCCACTGATGTTGGTCATACTTGATGTTTTTAGCACCAGCAATATTTTTTATATTCTTCTTTCATTTTTGTAGAACGCCCAATTGGTAGGTATACTTTCATATTTGTTGCCATTATGTAGAAGGACATACTTTAAACTTCGTTTGAAAATGTCGATAAAAAGACGCTAGTGATCTGGTGGTAATATTGTTACAAAAACCATATCATCTTGCTGAAAAAAAAGACAAAAGACCTTTTTCTCTATTATGGTAAAATGTAATTTTGGTGTCTGGGTGAAGAAGATTATTTTCGTTTAGTCTGGAGGCCTCTGGGAGGTTCAAATCTTTGATAAGATTGCTTAGCTCTTCCTAAGTAAAGCGCTTATGGCGTGTTGAATCCTCTTTAAAATCACTGTCGTTTTCCTCAAATCTATTAGTCTGTAGTTCGTCTAATAACGTTTCCGCATTATCCTCTGGTAAATATTGGAATGGGTATCTAGTATCTAGCTGATGTGGAATTGGTCTTATTGCTGAATCCAGGATAGAAATGATGAAATTGACAATTATTAATAATTAGTTTTTTAACTATATTTTTTCAGTTCATGTACAAAATAAATGTAGTATTAAAAACTAGGTTTCTCAAAATTTATCATAATATATC